TTTATTAGAAATGTATAAGGCTGTCTAACTGTACAATGACTCTGATTGGCATACAGTAAAAACAGTCATAAAATATAATTTAAAAAACTCCAAACTCCAGAGAAAGAGAATCATGAAAAGAAACTATCAAACAAACAGGACTCACCACCCATTCTAACCCATAGCCTGGGGAAACAGCTAGGTCTTCAAGGCTCTTTTAAGCATAGTGAGGGTGGGGGCCAAATTTATTTTGGGGGGATGATATTCCAGAGGGCATTTGCCAGCAAAATGTTGTGATAATTGATCACAGCCACCAGCTAGGAGCTCTTGACATTGGTTCTTCCCTATCAGAGAATTGGCCACCTGAAACATTGCTACTGGACGAGAACCTGCCAGCACCAGGAGAGAGGAGAAGTAATGGTGCTTTGCCTTTCTTATCGCCACAGAGATAGCTGTGTTCAGGCAGGTCACTTTTTGCCTTTCTTTGATTCTTGGTCTTGAAGGGAAGGATAATAGTTGGAAACAGAGAGCCCAGGCTCATTAAGGCAGAGAATTTCTCCTTGCATGTCTTGGGAGTTTTTAGGTCACTTTCATATGAGGATTCTGTGACAAACAGAAGGCAGCTCCAGACCAGTGTGATTCCACATTGCTAAATTTGTTTCCCTGATGGAAGAAAGTCTTGCCTTCTCCTCCTCCTGAGCTTCTGCCCTCCTAGCAGATCCTCTAAGGGGCTAGCTTGACGGCTTCCCTTAATAGCCCTGGCCAAGTGATCAGAGTTGAAACGGATGCAGTATGTGGTGATATGTCTTTAAAGAATTCTGTCAGTCTTTGGCACTTGAGGCACCTCCTTTTAATCCAGTGTTCCTCAGCCTTGACAACTTTAAGATATGTGGACTTCCCCAGTTATGCTGGCTGGGGAATTCTGGGAATTGAAGTCCACATATCTTAAAATTGCCAAGGGTGAGAAACATTGTTTTAATCCATTAGGCTGCTTGGTGGGTTTTGTTTGTTTGTTTTGTTTTTTTGTCCCATCCCCCTCCACATACACCCCCCC